ATGATGCTGCTTGGCCTGCTGTGTTCATCCAGCTCTACGCCTTGTTATCTATTATTGATACAAATCACCTTGGCAACCACCATTATCGTCACATGATATTCAAGTCCAAAGCCGAGTGCTCTGGGGATTTTATTTGCGTAAGAGCGGCGTTTGTCAGGCCAATAACACAAAACAAAGAAGAAAGCAGGGCATCAAATTCCTTTCTTATTCTACTTCGCCCTGCCAGCTGGTTGAATCAATTATCCTGTAAAATTGGTAACGTTTTGCTGCATAATGAATATTATGAAAAGAGATCGTAAGTCGCAAAGCTGCGTTGCTTTATAGATCAGATTTTCACAAGGGGCAGCAAGTGTGAGCACACTGAGTGGGGAGACACAGTGTGTGGAAATCCTCAGTCTTCAACACAGTAATGAGGGGACTAACACTGTGTGGAGGCCAGGCACATCCCCCCACTTTGGAATCAAGAGGTAACTGGGGCGTGTGCAATCCTAGACCAGCCTCATCCACTGACTAGCTGTCCTAGTGTGGGCTGAGGCGCAGAGGTTCTCGCTCTCTTTCTCTCTCTCTGACGAAGCGGGTACACCAAAGGGGCAGCATAGTGGCTCAGTGGTTAGCACTGCAGCCTCACAGCACCAGGGACCCGAGTTCGATTCCACCCTCGGGTGACTGTCTGTGTAGAGTTTGCACATTCTCCCCGTGTCTGCATGGGTTTCCTCTGGGTGCTCCGGTTTCCTCCCTCAGTCCAAAGATGTGCAGGCTAGGTGGATTGGCCATGGGAAATGCAGGATTACAAAGATAGAATAAGGAGAAGGGTCTGATTGGGATGCTTTTCAGAGGGTTGGTGTGGACTCAATGGGCCTAATAGCCTGATTCCAAACTGTAGGGATGCTATAAGTAATTTGTGAAGATTTAAAGAGAGAGCATAAAACATGGGGGAGGAGCAAAATGGAGGAATAAGCACTTCAATTAAAATAAACTTCAGAGGAAAAATATGAATTAAGAATGAGCTCCACAAATCCTTTGCTGTGCATCCTTTTAATAAAAAAAAACTACAACTGTGGACCATCCAGTGTGAAACAGCTTCAGGCTGCTGTATGCTGCAGGGTCAAGCTTCTCTCAGCAGTTGCTTACACTCGGAATCAGCAAAAAATCCTCACCACGTCTGAAGGCTTTCAAAATGTTCCTACTTGACACCATGACTATAAATGGCTTTTGGCAAAATTAAGGAATGAATCACTCCTGTGAATTCTTATTTGTTACAAAGTGTTGGTGTGAATCAGTTAGAATAAGTCAGCACAGTTAGTATTAGTTAAAGTGGATCCTGATTGAATATTCTCCACTTGCCAGGATGAGTGGAACTCTGCAAGAGTATTCAAGATGTTTGGTGCTGTCCAGGAAAAAGTAGTTTCATTGTTCAGTACCTCACCCACCACCTAAAACATTCACTCCTGTCACCACTGGTGCACAGTAACAACAGGGTGTAGCATCTACAAGATACACTGCAGTAACTCACCAAAGCTCTTTAGACAGCACTTTCCAAACCTCGAAGGACCAGGGCAGCAGATACATGGGAACACCACCATCTGCAAGCTCCCCTCCAAGCCACTCACCATTCTGACTTGGAAATTTATCACCGCTCCCTCTTGATCAGCGGGTGAAGATCCTGAACCTCCCTTTCTAACAGCACTGAGATGCCCCTACACCTACATGGACTGTATTGGTTCAAGAAGGCAGTCAATTTCACCCTCTCAAAGTCATTTAGGGATAGACAACACATTCTGGCCCAGCCAGTGACACCAACGTTCCAGGAATAAATAAAAAAGGAAGTGGAACAGAGATCACGTTACTAGGAGGGGGAGCTGAGTGATGTTTAGTTGAGACGTTTCAGAGATCATGGTGTTTTAGGGCAAGCTTGATGATCCAGCTGGTCGGTGCCTGCCTGTCAACTTTGGACGTTCCGACAGCGGGTTGATAACTAGCATCCAGACATACGAGGTCTGCTTATGACCACCGAGTCCCTACAGCCACCAGCCTCACTTGTGCTGCCTCACACATTTAACACCTGAATCCGTACACTGATTTGTTTTTGTCTTCTGTGAGCAAAGGCAAGATGAGGCATTGCATTTAAAAGTACCTTTGTTATATTGTGATGCAGCAGTGTTTGGATTCCTTTGATCCAGCATCAATGCACGTCTTACAAAACACCTCAACATCAATCGGAAGCATCCATCATCTAATTCACAAGCAGACAAAAATCCAAAAAAGCTGCTACGCTGGTGCAACACCACATCAGATATTGTTGCCTCTGTTTAAATGGGTCAACAACTCATGCTTTAAAGCACTAGGAATGTTGCCTGTCTGAATTATAGAGTAAACTAATTTTGAAGTTCAGTTGGCAAACTGTTGCCATCATACAGTTACCATCTCCCAGCCAGACAAGTAGGAAAAGGTCACACTGAGGTGAACATCGCATTGTCAGATGGTGCTGCCAATTCTGCTCACTGCAGACAAAGTAACCCCATAATAATTCTCCATTCTCGTTGTTTATTTGATGGAATTCAAATGACACTGCAAGGACAGACAGCAAAGGACATGACTTAGCTCACACGATGAATGGGTTGAATTAAATGGCAGCCAAAGAAACCAACATTTTACCCAGTTGTTCCGCGTGAACTTTGCGTGCCCTGAATCAGACTTACTTGGCCCACTCTGACAAACTCCGCTTGACGTGCTTCCTCTTTTTTCCGAGCCGATTTGGGGGATTCCGGCAGCACATCGCTGAACGACCTCCTATTTAACATATTCTGAGTATATAACACAAGTAAGAATTAAAACCTCGGCACAGGTTCACAACTGTTCTTTCAATTAACTAAGGAGAATAACCTCTAGGATTTCACTACATGCCACTATTGTCCCTCATCTAGGGAGGCTATGACCTCATATAGTTATGACTACTTCTTGGAGAATGACTAAATGGCTGCCACGCTAAATATTTCAAAAGGTCCTGACAGCAGAGTCCCATCAGCACATGACTCAGAGTCCTTTCATGTGCCTCATGAACAACAGCAATAGGTATAAACTAACAAGACAGGGAGCTGGGCCTTTTCAGTCAATCTGCAAAGTTTTATTTATTAATTTGTTACTGGCCTTTGCAGACAAGGTTTCAGAATTATTACAAATGATATTTCCCACAAGCCTCTATCAACGAGCTTCCCTCTCCTTCAGTGTACCTTTCTCACAACGTGAAGCTTATTACAATTGTCGGCTCTTTTTGGCCAGTCAATAAGCTACTTGCAGTTTAACAACCCATCTAAAAGTGGCAAGTTATTTTATAGGCGGGTAATTAATGTTTTAGTGAAACCACCTAGCCAGGGTATTCCTCCAAAAAAGACTGGATAAAATTACCTTCCTGCATTGGGCAGAGGCAATTAGCCCTGGTAAGTCTTTATAACTGACTGACAGCCTAAGGTTGAAAGAGTATGAACTTACTTTATCATGATATCATAACCAACAGTACATGAAACTACTCAACATTAGACTAATCAGAAAGCAAAGATATGGTTGTGTGACCAAAAATTTATTCACTGGTTATACAGTCACCTATAGAAGAAAGTAGACCAAACAGAACACAAGGAGACCACGTACTAATATTTTTTCTTTTCCAACACTGTTCTATTGTGAATGGTAATAAAGCTCTCCAACTGGACAATAAAATTTCCAATATGTTCGTTCTTTGCAAAAACACTGATTTTAATATTACAGAGTGGCCTTTGGGATTGAAAATCATCACAATATCAATTTTCCCAATATTTAACTCAGGGACTTTCTGCTCATCCATTGGAAACTAAGGAAGGGTTAACAGAAGAGATGCTAGTTTTCCATTCAAGGTCAAATCAATGTGACGAAGAACATGGGCAAAAGAATCAGGTCTCAGCGTGCAGCCAGAGGTAAGACACAAGTAGATGCTGGTAAATTAAATATGTCAACCTCCCACCTCTGCAAAGCTAGAAATCATAGCATCAGGTCACAAGACGGTTGGAGTCTAACAAAAAGAAGTGCAAGACATATTTCTAAAGAAAAGGACAGGAGAAGCTGGAAGGACAAAACAACGCCAACTGATGCTTCCATTCATTAAAGTTGCACCTAATGCCCCCTGCATTGTTTACAAAGATTAAGTGGGCATGGGAGACTGGTCAAGAGTTTCTGCTTGTGGGGAAGCAGTGGAGTAGTGGTAATGACACTGGACTAGTAATTCAGACCCCTCAGCTAATGTTCTGTGGGCACAGGTTCGAATTACACCATGGTAGGTAGTGAAATTTGAATTCAATTTTTTAAAGAAAAAGCTTGAATAAAACGTTAATCTAATGGTGACTATGTAACCACTGTCGATTGTCAGAAAAAAACCCTATGCTTCCCTAACGTCCTTCAGGGAAGGAAATATGCCATCCTTAGCTGATCTGGCTGACATGTAACTCCAGATCCACAGAAATGTGATTAACTCTTAACTGCCTTCTGGGAATGTCGGGATGGGCAATAAATGCTGGCCCAGCCAGCAACACCCACATCCCATGAAATGAAAGAAAAACCCCATTCTTGGACCTTACTGGAAAGTGAAAAGTGAAGAATGTGAGTGGACTTTAGGTGAGAACGGGAACTTTTATGGTTTCCACAGACAAACTGCCTGCAGAGACTAATACAATAAGGATGGCTAATTAAGGTACCTTCAGCAAGACGCTGGAGAAATAAACTGGGGAAATAAGTCCCAGCGAATTTTGCAACGACCTGCAATAATGGACATTTGGAAAGTGTATGATTTCAGTTCACACAGTGACTAACATTGTGCAAAGCCACCCAATGCCAATATCAGGTTGATGAGGACCACCTCAAGCCCTCTAAACATTCCTCCCAGCACACTTTGAACAACTTCCCCACCTCTATTAAGTCTATTGACAATGTGCAGCCCCCACCCACAAACCCCTATCATTGACCAGAGCACTGAGAAATTGTCCTACTGTATTCTTACTCTGAAAGCCATTACTGGTAACACCCCATATGGAAAGTTAATCTAGGATATACTGTGGCAGCAGGATTCTGAGGGAAATGATTACTTTATTCCAATACCAGAAAATGAGTTGTAAGAAAGCCCAGTTGAGAAAAGGTCTTTCATATCATCAATCACTTCCTTTAACATGCCATGGACAATCCATTCTATTATGATCCAATTAACACAGAGAGGCTGCTGGCTGCACAACAACACCTACACACCTCCCCCAATCCCAACCACACAAAAAATCTGAAAATTAAAGAAAAGAGGATTGGTAGAGAGGTTATGGAAGCAGCGAACACATTTCAGCATCATTTTCTTCCAGTTGTTCTTTACCCAGTACAATCCATGAGCATCAAACGCTATGGATTTTGGGGTTTCACAATCAAAACACACTGACCAGGAAGATAAATTGTTTAATGTCATAATTATAAAAACCTCGTTTTATCCCCATCTCCCACCAAATAAGAAAGGCAAACAATTGATTGTGATTGATCAATGCAGATTATAATTTTACATTGTCTCATTGATGGAATCTTATTAAATGTTCGCTGACATGTTGCTAGTATTTTATGCGAAATAACATGCCAGAAGCATTTAAAATTTCATTATTCATAAGTTTTTAAAGTATCAGGGCAAAGATAAAAGATCTCTGATCTGGTGTGATGTTTATGAGCATAGCTTCTATAATACTTTATCACATTTCCCCGTGTCTATCTCTTACTGGTATAAAATAACTTTGTTATCAGATGTGCTGCTACAGATTTACAGTAATAGTCCATTTTAATCTACTTTCTGATTCTGCTTTCAAATCAATCATAATTTCTTACTATGCTAATTTCAGTAACAATTTGGCTTTCACAGAGTTCTCATACCATCATCACAGAATGCAACCTATTGTTATTTCATTAATAAGTGCATTATTGGCATCAGTCTTAAATAGTTGTCCCTTTAACCTACAGTCACACTTGTATGATGGGATAATATTTGACACTAGATTCACAGCACATATCAAGAATGTCTGCAGTAGCAAACAATGTAAGAATTTGGACATTCATTCCAAATAGTTTTGTTTAACCTGACAGTGGCAGCTTTCCATCTTGTAAGACAGAGACTGACCCTGTGGTAGTCAACTCTGTATTGACATTTAATGCAGCCGATACAAATTATGTCAGAGACAGTCAAAATTAGGATGACCATTTGCAGCAAAGGAGACATTAAATTATTTATAGCTGCAATGAATTTTAGGACATTGCACAGGCCATGATTCACCAAAAAGGCCAAAATAAGCTAGTGGTATTATCGCTGGACTGTTAATCCAGTTAATGTTCTAAGGATCTCAGTTTGAATCCTACCATGGTAGACGGTGGAATTTGAATTCAATAAAAATCTGGAATTAAGAGTCGAATGATGTCCATGAATCCATTGTCAATTGTTGGTCAAGCTATCTGATTCACTGATGCCCTTTAGAGGAGGAAACTGCCATCCTTACTTGATCTGGACGATAGATGAATCTAGACCCACAGCAATGTGACTGATGCTTAACTACCCTCTGGGCAATTAGAGATGGTCAATAAATACTGGCTTAGCCAGCAATGCCCTCATTCTGTGAGTAAATAAAGAAAAATGGGACAGCAGGATTTCTATAGAGAGTAGCGGGGAAGAACTGTTGGTGCACTGACAAGCACACGTAGCCAACGGGGTCAAACAGCTGCCTGTAATTTTTTATTGCTCTTGCAAAGATGTACGATATGATTGTTAAACATGTTGATGTACTTTCACTCTTCAGTCATGGATTTAACTTCAACTGCCTGTTGACTCAATTTTTTTTCCGTTATCCAATGGGTAGCGATTCCACTCATGACAATGATCAATAGTGCTAGTGGCTTGGCTGGGTTTAATCTTATAAATGCAATTTTTCTTCCAGTTAGAGACAGGGTGATGACACATAGTTAATCACTTTCAAAAACCATGCTAAAGTGGCAGATGCGGTTAGATGGAACAATGAACATTATTAACATGGACAAAGCAATATTAAACCTTTGAGACAGATTTTTTTTTGCATCAGCAATCTAACCTTTAAAGTTTTTCTAATTTTGATGCTCAGTTTAGAGAGGAATGTTAAGAGAAATTTTCTGGTGATTCCATCCCATTCAAGTTTCAAATGTTTCAGCAGGTACATGAACCAATGGAAGTGTGCACAATTTGAATACTTACACTCAGTAAATTCGGTCTCAAAGGATTAATATTTGTTTGGCTAGCATTACTTCTGATGCTGTTAGAATACATTAAAATTGTCAGTCTTAGTTTACAAGAAGTAACACTGGTGCATTTGAATGCAAAAGGAAAAGATAAATTATCTCACTGTTATCCAGCCTAGTTGGATTTCATTCATTTCCTAAGGAAGAAATGTGACATAGAAAAGTGGTTCACTGCATTATGCACACATCAGTAACAAAGTTATAGCTAAACCAGGAAGTGAGTGTATTCTTAACATTTGGTAAGAACAAGCTCATAACAATGAATTCTCTAAACAATGGCATTATATGACGTCATTAATAATTGCAACTGAATAATACTACGCATTGTTCGAAAATCAAATCTTTAACATATTCTTAATTTTTCAACTTCAATCTATTAAATGTATTTATGTGTATTTAGAACTAATATTTTTCCAATAGTTTGCAATTCATGCTAATACAACTCAAAATCCTTTGCTGTAGCCTTAATTTGCAGTTGTAGTGTTTTCTGTATTCACTGGTATGCTCGCTCTATTGATAGGAAATCTCTTTCAGAAACTTGGACCACGGGAACTGCATGATCCTCAATTTATACTGGACAACAATGCTAGCAGTCATCTGTTGAACCACAGTGAGTCAGAAGCTAAGGCAAGGTCTGGACTTACTCTATGTGAGACTATCTTTGGGGTACTGCAGCTCGTGTCCACTAAGGCTGTACTAACAACTTGACAGGATGCTGATATAACATCCAGTTTATAGGTGTCTCATTCTACGACTCTGCACCTTAGACTAACCCTAAACTTACCTTAAAATGTAAAGCTAATACTGTCATATTTATTTTCAGATAAGATTTTCCAGTTAAAGTTGTATTGAGAATTTCAATTGTTGGTAGAAAACTTTCTAGAAACATAGAAACTAGAAACGTGAGGATGCCATTTCGCCCTTTGAGCCTGCTCTGCTATTCAACTTAATCATGGCTGATTCTCTAATTCCTGCTTTCTCCACACACCCCTTGATGCCTTTAAAAGCTGAAAATTTATCTATCCCTTTTTTGAATATATTCAGTGAACTGGCCTCCACAGCCTTGTGTGTTTATTATTTATTGATTACAGTGACCAAATCTGATTATCAAGTAGACAACAGCATTAAATATGTGGGGTAACATATCTAGTTTGTCAAGTGTCATTTTATACTCACTGTATGTATCGTACAGACATCTACCATAATTTTAATGGCAACGGGAAAATTAGAAAAATGAAAACTCTCCGTAGATACATTTTACAGCAAATTATTGCCAATACTAATTGCTAGTCATAGTTAGTTAATACTGAAGTTCAGAAAAATATTCTTTCACTGTTGTTGAAAGAAATCAGTTGCATGAACGCAATCCATTTCTGGGCATCAATCAAAGTAAATATGCTCTTGGTTAATTGGATTTTCAAACCTTGCAAATGGTTTAGGTCAATTGGCAGAAGAGAAACTTCTGCCAGTAGTAGGGAATCGATGTAAAATGCAGTCAGTAGTAGGGAATTGGTGTAAAATGCAGCCAGTGAAAATGCACCAACAACTACTGTACCTTATGCAAGTCTGGTATGAGATCTTGATACAGAGACCGTATTAACATATCCAAGGTACGCTGACGTTTCTGAGCAAACGTTGGGGTTTCCAGGGTTGCTTTCTCTCCATTTATTACTGAAAATGACACATCAAAGCCAAGCAACAGTGCAGTGAATGCTAACTGTCTCATAGAGAAAGCTGATTTATCACTTAAAGTTACAACATGTCTGGTAGAAATTTCTCCACAATACATTTATTTCACTGGATGAGCCCTGTCTCTACCTTGACTTTTACAACGAGACAAATGCAGAACAGGCGAGAATTTCTGGCCAATAATTTCACATTAGCATGTGCCCTCCTGGAAAGACGGCTTTTAAATGCACCAAATTGTATGCTGTAGTCAAGCTATTTCTAAGCAAGGAAAGCAGCAATGGCACTAATGACAGAGACATTAAACACCTTGATGCTGATTGGAGCTTGGGTAGTGCTGACAGCAGAAGGATTCAGTTCTTCCTGGGTACAGCACAGTTAATGGGAGCAGCCTCAAAACAAGGCTATACTTGGCCTCATGGTGACCATGGAGGGGGACAACACACATGAGCATCAGCTGGATAAGTGATTGTGGGGTCATATGATTCAGAGTGAGGAATCAAAAAGGAGAAGAAAAAGTAGCTGGGTGGACAGCAGGGAGAAGGTACATCTCTTAGGAGCCCCATGCAGAATATTGGATGACCAAGAGCCAATACAAATGATAGTGAAGGTAATGAAAGCCATCAAGGATGTGGGCCAAGTACAGGCAGGTGGGACTAGTTTAGTTTGGGATCATGGTCGGCATGGACTGGTTGGACCAAAGGGTCTGTTTCTGTGCTGTATGACTCTATGGGTCTATTACAGCAGTATTCATGCCACCTGCGTTTGAGAGTAAGTTCCTGAGATAATTTAACAACGTATAGGAAACATGATGTCATGATTTTTGAATATATGACTGGATGATTCAGTCTGGAAGATGGCACAAAAATTTAAACTAAGCTAAAGAGGAAACAGTACATCGGTGAAGTAGTTCAAATCCCTGTCATTGCAAGTTGTATTTTACTTGTGGAAAAATCATAATTATAGAACAGAATCAATCTTCATGTTAAAATCACTTGACAATGCTTTAAGACTTACATCAATACAGCAGGAGGAAATTACAAGTAGCAAAGTGACTTCACTAACAAAGTGAAGGCAGTGGAACTGATTCTGTCTGCGAGTACTTTAAACCTAAGTATGCTCAGTCTGAAATAGCTTGAAGAACTACATATCTGTGGTGGAAAACTCCACCTGGTAACAAAGGGGAGGTGATGGCCTCGCGGTATTATCACTGGGCTGTTAATGCAGAGACCCAGGTAATGTTCTAGGGACCATGTTTGAATCCCATCACAGCAGATGGTGGAATCTGACCTCATTAAAAATCTGGAATGAAGAGTCTAATGATGACTATGAATTCATTGTCAATTATTGGGAAAAACCCATCTAGTTCACTAACATCTGTTTGAGAAGGAAACTGCCATCCTTATCTGGTCTGGCCTACATGTGACTCTGGACCCACAGTAATGTGGTTGACTCTTGTTGACTGCCCTCTGGGTAATTAGGGATGGGCAATAAATGCTGGTCTAACCAGCGACGCCCTCATCCCGTGAATGAATAGAAAAAAGGACTCTGGGAAGAGAGGATCATTCAACACTGCAATGGATGCTCTCAACTGGCTTGGTAGCCCAGCTCTAACCATTGTGCAGTTGATTATTATCTGCATATCTTGCGTTATTCTATAAGTACGTCTATTATCTCTGGCTTACAGGTATTCTCAGGTAGAAACATTTTGAACAAATGCTCTCATGCTGTGGGTGGAGTTTAGGCACTTTGCTCATTTTGGTGAAGAGACTAAACTAAACCAAGTGAACTGACCTTCTCAAAACGTCCACAGCTTTACTTCTGTTCAGATGTGGGCAGAAGACAGCCAAGCAAGAAGAAACCTGTATCTTGATTCAAGTTTACTGCCTGTGTCAATCAACAGTCTACGCACTGAGGGGAAATATCTATAAGATGAACTCTAGTTCTTCAATCAGTAGCAGTATTACGGAGTTACATTTGTAATTTTCCATTTTTATCCTGCAGTCTGATGTAATCCGATGATAGTACATTTATTGACACAATGGGTTTCCTGCTGCTTTTAAAGTAATTAACATTCCGTGATTCACCCTGCCCATTTTAACCTGGTGTCACTCTATATAGGGCTGAAATATAAATGGCATTCCATTGAATTATAGCATCAACAATTCCGAAACCACATTCCCACTGAACCAATGACTGATGGACAATATCAGTAACACTTCCTGAAAAGCTGCCATAAGAACATGAAACAATGTCTGAAAAATCAGCCTCTAACTTACACAGCAATCACTGAGAACCCACAACTTGTTTTTACACAGCACCTTTAGCACAGATCTCCTTCTTCAAAGTGCATCGTACAGAGTGCAAGGGAAATGGACAAGATTCAAGGAGCTTTCTCAAACTGAAAATATCTTAAAACACTTCACCCTGTGCCTCAGTGGTGCTTGATTTGAATAACTGGAGAAGTCTGTTTGAACAGAGACTCTTAGCAGCAGAAGATATGTTTCTTCAGTGTAGAAACATGGCCCCAACCTCTTCTGTTTTGAGAGATCAATGCAGTTACCATCTCTGCAGACTCCTCGGTAACCAGGTCTTGCAGACTCGACAGTTACCATGCCTTGCAGACTCCATGGTAACCGAAACTTGCAGCTAAGTCCATGGATTGTACTTTTCTCATGACTCTTGCCTGCTGATTGAGACTTCATGGAGTCTATCCACTCCTGATTCTCCCAAACATTGGAGTGTCTACACTTGCAGTCAGAGCTGCAGCTGCTTGGAGTCTCTCTCATCCCTAGGGTGTCCTTAGACTAAGGCTCTCTGGCGGTCTGTGACACTGCTCTGTTTTTGCCCTAAGGTCTACATTGTGCTGAACACAGTTCTTGAGCACAGCGGTTTCTCCTTTGCTTCCCTTTAAGTCTCGAACACATGTTTCTCTCTCCCTGATGTCAGACAATGTTCATCATTTAAATCATCATCATTAGCATATTTATTTCCTATTCTACTACATCTTCTAATGAGAAATCAGACAAACCCATTCCATAAAAGCTGCCCTTCCTAACCCACATTTGCATATTCACTAGATTTAAAAGTGAGAAATCTTTGAAATAACTTTCCTGATCTGGGCAATTTCAGTCCCTATCTGATTTCTGAATGAAAGAAACCAGAACTAGAGCAGGACCAATCATTTGCCATTCATTCAGGAGGCTTTTCTGGCATTTTGTGAACATTAAATTCGAAACAGTATACTTTGGACAATCACGCTGACATCTAGTGAGCAGGTAAGTAATGAAGACCCGGGTTTATGTAAGAGGAGTAGATTAAGAGAGAGCTTCAACATCAGAGATATTGTGGTTTATGTGAGATCATGCCAGCTTGGATGGCAGGTACATCCAGAAACCATCAGCATGACCAAAGCCCAGTGATAGGAAGGTCATCCCATGTCATAGCATGGCTCTCACTGACTTAGGTTTTTCAAGCACTAAAATTAATTAGAGTTTCTAATCATTGGCCCCCCTTACCCACCTTATAATGGCTTCAGTACAGATCATACAGTGGTGCTGTAAGCATAAGTAGCAATAGCAGACTTACATTTAACTAAAACAAAGTCCCTGAACTCATGATGATCTGTAAACACTGGCGGAGAAGGGAGAGGAGGTCCAAACAATGGGACACTTTCTTCAGAAAATATCTTAAGTCTGTAGAGAAACCAAGATCAGCAAATGTTGTTAGAAATGTGATAGAACTCAATATTACCCTAGTGCCTTAAAATTTTGATGCAATTCTAGCTCAACAGTATTACATTTTCATATCATTAATTATTTTTCTCCTTTTACTCCTAAAAGGAATCAAATAGTTTTGATTGCCAACTGCAACACACAATAAAGCCAAAGACCATTTCAATAGCAAGGAGTTGCAGGACTAATCCCAATAAAACCAATTTGTCAGTTATCAGTCAATCCAATATTCACACCTGTGGAAAGAAAAATCTCACTGGGGGTGCAATGTGAACTTTGAAGTGGAGTTATCTGCTGAAGTATGAATGCATGAAGTTAAAAAATAATGACAAGTACACCACACATAACAACCGACCATGAGACCAAAAGATATAGGAGTAGAATTAGGCCATTCAGCCCATCGAATTTGCTCCACCATACAATCATGGCTGATACATTTTTCAACCCCATTCTCCTGCCTTCTTCCCATAGCCCTTCCTTCTCCCTTTAATTCTTGATCCCCTTACTAATCAAGAACCTATCTATCTCGGTCTTAAATATACTGAATGACTTGGTCTTTAAGCCTTCTGTGAGTTCCATCGATTCACCACCCTCTGGCTGAAGAAATTCCTCCTCATCTCAGTTTGCAAACGTTATTCGTTCACTCTGAGGCTGTGTCCTTGGGTCCCAGTCTCTCTGACTAGTGGAAACATCTCCTCCACACCCAGGCCTCTGTAATTTTCCATTTTGCTCCTGCAGTCTGATGTAACCTGCCGACAGTACTGGTATGCAATGGGGTTCCTACTGCTTTTAAAGTAACTAACATACAGTGATTTAAAAAAAAACAAAAAAAAATGCAGATGCTGGAAATCAGAAACAAAAACAGAAATTGCTGAAAGACTCTTAAGTCTGGCAGCATCTGTGGAGTGAAATCGAAGTTAACATTTTAGGTCCAGTGATCCTTCCTCAGAACTCACATAACATTAACATACTGTGATATTCTGGAAGTTTCAATGTGATCCCCCATCATCCTTCCAAGCTTTATTGAATATAGACCCAGAGTACTCAACTGCTCCTCATATGACAAGTCCTTCATCCCAAAGGTCGTTCTTGTAAACCTCCTCTGGACCTTCTTCAACCTCAGCACATTCTTCCTTAGATATGGGTCCTAAAACTGCTCACAATATTCCAAATGCAGTCTGACCAAGGCATATACAGACTCCGCAGTACATCCCTGCTTTTGTATTCTAGCCCTCTTGAAATTAATGTGAAGATTGCATTTGTCTTCCGAACTGCAACTGAACCTGCACGTTAATCTCAAGAGAATCATGAGCCAGGCCTCCTACATCCCTTTGTGCTTCAGATTTCTGAAGCCTTTCCCCGTTTAGAAAATTGTCTATGTCTCTATTCTTCATACACTTTATTCTTCATACCAAAGTGTATTACCCCACACTTTCCCACATTGTACCCTATCTGCCACTTCTTAGCCCACTCTCATTGAGGTTTATGAGAATCTCAAGGTGATTAGCAGGACACTATCAGGGATTCACTTTGCAGAGAATTAAATTTCTGTTAGGGATGCAATGCAGCAGCAAAGGGAAATGATTGGTAAAATGGCGTATATAAACTTGCAGCAAAGGAGATACAAATGTGAAAAATAGCATCAAGACTTAGCTCTCAACTCTGCTGCCTGTAATTTGGAATTGCTCACGCTTCCTTGGGATACTGTGACGGTTTTTAATGAGAGAAAGGGGTTCAGGAAATTGCCAAAGTGGGTTCTGTGGTCTGATGATGAGATAGTAGGAACTACAGATGCTGGAGAATCTGAGATAACAAGGTGTGGAGCTGGATGAACACAGCAGGCCAAGCAGCATCAGAGGAGCAGGAAGGCTGATGTTTCGGGCCTAGACCCTTCTTCAGAA